CATAGTTGTGGTCAAGTCAAGAGCTTGACAAAATATGTAAATATATTTTGTCAAGCTTTTGACCAACCAGCTCAGGGGGTGTCATGAACCCATGACCCCCACCCTGGATCTGCTGTTGGTTTGAGATACTGCAAACTGATAGAATCATTAGTAATTTGAGATATTTACAAAAAAATATTATAATCGTTTTATAAGCTTAGGTTAAAATATTATTTCAAACATATATAACTACATAGCACATCTATATATTAAAATAATCTAGCTATACTAGCCTATACTTACATATACTAATATTAAAAAGCGGAAAAATTCGTATTTTTGTATGTATGGTAATAACTCAAAAACTACAGGGGCGAATTCAAAAATTCTTACACCATTAAAAAGCTACGTTATCAGTGAGTAACAGGGGCCTTTTTTTTAAATTCACGCAGACGAAGTAACGAGCAACAGCTAGCTTAGAATAATAATAAGTGTAAAAAAGTTAAGCAAACCTTTATAGCACTTGAGAGCCACCATGCAGCGCTTATAAAACCTATCCCCCCATTCTATAACCTCATCTACATCTCTTCTCAAAAGCTGCGCCGGCGACTTCTCTTCTAGCAGGGCTCGACAGATCACAGCTATGCAACCCGTTTGAGACCCTAAAATTTATCAATGTAAGGAAACAGGAAATAAGTAAAACACTTTGCCAAAAAAAAACCTAGAAATTAGCTAAGAAGATGAACAAGCACACAATAATTGTAATCAAGCTAGAAAATTTCTCTGCAAGGTATAAGGGTAAAGCGCGGTTCAGAGACCCAGAGTTCTAAATAGAAAGGGGGGCACACCAAGTCTGGGAATTCTCAGTGCTTTAAAAGGTGGCATCGTAAGAATCTCGTCGGCACTAGTAGCCCTAAAACCGGTACTGATACCTATAAAAATAAATAAGAATCGAGATAATTACCGCAAGCAGTTGATGAATACTTCTTAGAATTACAACCTACAGTTCCTTGAAGGATCATTTTATTTTTCTCTATTTGCATAAAACTATGCCATATCTGTAATACAAAATTGAAATACCTACACAGTAAAAAAAATTACAAAGAGTAAAAATTAAAAATCACTGTCACTTGCAAAGTTTTCTAAATCAATTGTTGGGGGAAATTCAATTTAATTGGGAACAATTTAATCAAAATTCTGTTAATTTTATCTAAGTTACTTATGACGTGGTTGAAGATAATTTTGTGGGTAAAATTGTTAATTATTTTTGTCAATCATTATCCGTTACTATAAACTTACCCTTCTCAATTTCGTACATTCGTATAGGGGTTGAGTGATTTCCTCGGCAGGGATACGCGGCAACCTTGGCCGGCGTCTCCGACGCTTCATGTATGGAGGAACCCATCTTCTTGTTTTGAATTCCGGTTGCTCTATAATCTATACAAGTAGCACATGCAATTTGAATTTAAATTATTATTGTTATATGAATTCGAAAAATAAATTCGTTTATTAATGAGCCGACTTAAAAAATTCTTTCACAATTAAAACGCTACGTCATCGCGGAGTAACATCATACTAATATTATAAATGCGAAAGTTTAGATGGTTGGATGGATATTTGTTAGAGTTTGTAGCTAAAACGGCTGAACAGATTTCGATAAAACTTGGCATAGATGTAGACGATAGTCTGGAAGAACACATAGGCTTTTCACTTTTGTTTTTTTTTATCCCACGCGGACGGAGTCGCGGGCGATAGTAGGCTATATTTTTAAATTTCACTTGGGCTAAGAGGCGAGCAACAGCTAGTCGTAAGTAAAATGGTATTATAACAGTAAGAGTAGGGGTATATTTTTATTTAATAAACAGTCTGTAACTAACAATCGGCGGTAATCTCGGTGGCGGAGAAGGTGGTTTCCAAGGTCGTGTAGTTATCGGTACTTTAGTGACCTCTGGCCATCGTTTTTTAAAGCGAGTTTTCCGCAACATAGCTCTGTATTCAGCTTCTCTGTAATAATGAAACACGTGAATAATTCAGTAAATAAACGTTGAATTGAAAATGAACTGAAAGAACGTCAGTTATGAGTGTAGAGATACACCGGTAGAGGTAGACCTAGAAAGAGATGGATGGATTGCGTAAAAGATTACATAATCAAGAAGAGAGTGATGACTGAGATGACGGATGATAGAGTTGATGTGGAGGACAAAAACCTGTTGCGCCTACCCTGCAGAAGAATGCTAAGGAGAAGGATGATGACGATTCTAGAATACTTTGAAATTCTTACTCTCTAGCAATTTCTGAAGCTGTCTTCGGTATCTCTTCGGGTATTGGTGGTACAGGTTCTTCTTTCCCCTTCCCTTTACCTTTTCCTTCAGGTTTTTTTTCTGTCGGTGCATCTCCTGCAGCAGTTCCTCTACGAATAAAGAAATGCTAAGTTATTTCGTTCCATTCACATCGTAGTAGCCAATGATTCCTCATACTTACTTCTTTTTATCAGCCATTGTAAATTCTTTGAAGCTCTTTCAACAACAAAAATTTATCTTCAATTTTTTTTTCTGCAAAAAATAGTAGTTTCTGACATTATTACCAATAAATATCAAAAATATAGCATCACGATCATCATGTCTTTATCTGCGCACTGTTGGACATAAGCGTTTTCCCATACCTTGAACAGAATGTAGTCCTCTATTCTAAGACATAGCATATCTAATACATATTGCACAAATAAATAGTACATTCCCAATTCTCAATACTTTTAAAATTGATATAACTATTTAACATTTCCCTACTATTCTATCTTTTAATTTAAAAGGAGAGAAAATGCCGTTTACATAAGAACGTAGTGATTACTTACATTTTATTTTTTCCGCTTTTTATATTTTATTTTAGTAATTCAAATAATAACCATTACTGTTTAGTGTTTTTATCCATGTTTACAAATCTAACGAATGTTTTTGTTTGGAACATTTTTTAAATTGTTTTCATTTGGCGGCAACCTTCAACAGCAATGTTGTCATTGCTTACAGCCTGTCATCTTTTTAAAATCATGGTTAACAAAATAAAAGTTGAAGTGTACTTGCTATATTTACAATAAAAATTAAAATGTAAATGCATTAAGTAACGGAATAAGAGTAACAAAAGTAAATCCGTGAATTAAATGCCGTGACCAATATCTGTGGCAACATTACACTGAAATAATGAATGTCAAAATCACATGATATTTATGGAATTCAGTAATTTAAAATAATTGTGGATAATTTCAGCTTTAACTTTATGCATCTGGTCATAATGTGTTGTTAAGAAGGTTTATTTAGTAATTTTAACAATTTAATTCACCCCTGATATCACCTGTACCACAAGAAAAAAGTGATGTTATATACTCTTTGATTGCAATCAATCAATAATTTCTTCTGTCAATCTGTGACGCAGATGATATAAATTGTGTCAAAACTTGAAATTCCTTTTATCCGGTTTCAATTCCTTGAACTTCAATTATATTTTCCATCCAACAATGTCTGAAAATAAAGATGTTTCCAAAAAGGACGCTGATCCTGAACTCGGTGACTTATTGGACAGTAAGTTTGTTTTTTGTCTTATTGTATGTTCTGTTCTGTCATGGTATTACACAATCTTTAACCTAGTTCATATTTAATTTAAATTATAAGAGCGTGATCTATTCTACTTGAAATACATTTTTAAAAAGTATAGCTTCATAAAATATACAATGTTCAATACATCATATTGGTATAAACCCAATAACACTTTTATTGACATTGCCAATTATTATATAGGCGACAAAATAAGTCTCCGCTAGTGTCCTTTATAAATGACTCAACATATCAAATAGAAAAATTAATAAAATGTCTTCAAGTATATTCATTTCCAACATTCTTTTTCACTAATGATATTAAAGATCCTATTAGAATACATAATAATCTAATCTAAATGTCTTATTAAAGGTGCACTTCAAGACATGATACAAAAAACTGAAGGAAACACGGAAGAAAATGGGAATAACACAGAGGAAGAAACTACCATCAATGTGTGGAATGAAGAATTCATAAAAGAAGCAGCTGCCCAGTTTGAGAGCAACATGGCATCACTTCTCGGCAATTTTAGTGGAATTCCAGGTACAGAAAGTTGCTTCTGATACTTTATTATCACTCTCTAAAGTGCATAGAAATTAGTTCCATATTTTTTCTCAATTATGTGAGGTTTTATATTTCTGGTCAGGCGGCCAATTAGGTTTTCAAATTGCCAATATTAGGTAACCATCAAGTTTTCCTTGGACCTGAGTTTTTCCCACAGCTAAATGTTGACCTCCAGTGGTGATTACCACAAAATCTTTTCTAATATGAAGTATTTAATTACTCATTGGGTACTTAATACAAAAATATTTTATCCTTTACAGATGAAAATGTAACTCAGGATCAGATTGCGCATACCTTCTCCAAAATGGCTGGTAAATATCCATTGAATATTTCAGAGTTAACAATTTAAAAAACTAAATTGTTAAAATAAATAATGTTTTTAACAGAGGCAGCGGCTCAAGTATTAAAACCTCCCTCGGATGCACCTGCAGTTGACAATGGCAATGATCCCGCTACTCAGGAGAAAATTAATGAGGTGACTTACCGATTTTATGTCGACCAACAAGTACAAGTTGTCAAAGAAATATGTCTAGAAAAGATATGAACAAAAGAATATGGATCCCTTGGCTTAATTTCCATGTAGATAAAGTTGCACAGAAATGTTTAGTTAATTAGTCAACTCGTAGCAAATATTATACTCAGTTTATTCCTAAGTTTAACTATACTTTTTACCGCATTTATTTGTTATGCTGATAAACTATGGATATTTCATATAACTTTTGTGTATGTGTGATTAAAAAACTTCTTGTTTCAGGTATCAGAAGCGATCACACGAACTCTGCAGAATCTGAACACAGATTCGGAAAATCTTCAGACACCATTCTCTGAAAATGATTTAGCAAATATGTTTGCCAACTTTAATATGGGTGAAGGAGGACAGGTAATATTTATATGCAGCAATTCATATTTATTATGATAAAAAATAAGTGTCACATAAAAACAAATTTAATCATAACCATAAAAATATTTATAGTAATCTTACTAATATTGTACATGCAAAAGTTGTTAAAAGGTATATCCACAACCACAATGTCTATAAAATTTAACACAGATGTAGCATATAGTCTGGAAGGTCATATAAGCTTATAGTTTGTCTAAATAAGATAGATTAGTTTGACAATTCATTTGAAATTTAGTAGGGATGGGTTGTGTAAAATCAGTCATGAATCTTATCGTTTTTCGATTTTAATTCTTATAGAAGTTGGAATCGATAGATTCATAGTTATAACTTATGAATTAAAAAAACACTGTTTTCTCAAATTAATAATGATTATAACAAATAATGAAAGTAAATGATACAAATTGAATTCTAAACTAAACTAATCTATGTTATTTAGACAAACTATAGTAATTGTTTAAATTCTGCATGGACGAAGTCCCTGGTAATATTCTTTCTTTTTTTTCAGGAGAATAACATGTTTGTGCCATTCATGCAAGGCATGATGCAATCACTGTTATCCAAGGAGGTTCTATATCCGTCACTGAAAGACCTTGTAGAACGCTACCCCACTTGGCTGGCTGATAATAAAGGAAAGATTGAACAAGCTGAGTATGACAGGTAGAGTTTTTTAAATTTTTTTTTTATTTTTAATATTGCATGAAATTTTAACAGCTTTACTTCAATTACAATTGGTAGTTAATTTTTTGACAGTAACTTTTATTATGAGTGTTTGGAAATTGTTCATAATTCATCATCTACTTGACCTTGTCCCTTACGGAGGGTCGGCACAGTATGTGCTGCTCTTCCAAACATCTCTATCATTGTTCATAATTAAGTGATATAAGGACTGATAAAAACCCTTGATTGAGAGGAAATTTTCTGTTCTATAATTAGCACTTTACGTCATAATAGAAGCATATACATAAATATATACATTGTGCTAATTTAATACTTATTCCAGATTCGAGAAGCAACAAAAGCTGATGGAGGAAGTGTGCGCTGAGCTGGAGCCGGAGCAGGAGTCCGACCCTGAAGATGTGAAGAGGAAACGCTTTGAAGTTGTACTGAATCTCATGCAGCAGGTAATCTTACTAATATTAAATATGGAAAGTTTAGATAGATGGATGTTTGGTAGAGTTTGTTGCCACATAGGCTACTTACTTTTGTTTTTAATACCATTCAATTTATTATTTACAAGCTGTTCCCCTGCTGCTTCATCCGCGTAAAATTATAAAAACATTATTTTACTGTTTACATTTGTCAAATTTTCAATTGCAAATGTCAAAATAACAATGGCAACCATGCTTCCTTGATGTTGGCAGCTTGTATTTTATGGTCCTTTTCACACATAGGGTTTTTTTTTCTATTTTGTTTATCCCCTAATTTAATAGCTTTAAAATATATAGCCTAAAGCGTGTAGGGCTTTTTATTAAAGAAAGAATTATTCAAAAATATGCTGTTATTGTTGACATACTACGCCACAAAGTATTTACGCTTTATTATTTAAGTATAGAAGTATAGATTAATATTACTTTACAGATGCAAGATCTCGGTCAGCCCCCTAAGGATCTGGTGGGTGAGATAGGCGCCGCTCCCCCAGGGTTCGCTCCCCCCGCCCCACAAGACGGCGGACAGTGCGCTGTCATGTAAACTAGGAAATTGTAATAACGAGGTATGGTTAATATATGGAGGCTAAGGTTTTAATAGTCGATAAAATCATGTGATGGATAAATCACAATATATTTAAAAAATAATTATTATTATTGATATTCAGCCCGGTTGTAGAAGTGCGGATTTTCATTTTAACTTGTACACTAATAGTTTATGAGAAATTATATTAAGGGCCTGTCCCACCAAATTATAAATTGTCTGATAACAATCTAACGTGTAAAATATGTGATGGAAATATCGTATTTGTTCCGTTATCTGACAGTCACGTCATTTTTTAGCTATCTCAGCCTGTATCAGCCAGTGGTGGGACAGGCCCTTACACATGTAACTGGCTGATATAGTCTATAGCTTTTTTTTAATTTCTGGGTTTAAATAAACATGTCTGTTTTGAGTCTCTAATACAGCCTTATAAAGGTAAATTTAGATGTTTGTTATAATTTCTCATTTCTATTAGATTCTCTAGTAATTATAATGTAATAGGAATTTTAGTAAATGGTAAGCGACATATCATGTGTGCTTTCAAGTAAATGCTATCCGTCTTACAGTATACTTTGATCATTTGAAAAATATTTCGAATTCTCTATATCGCTATTAATAAATAAAAACAAATTATCGATATATCGAGATAATCGAATAATCGGATGGCAGTGACAGCTGTCAGAATGCTCTGACATTTTATATGTCATTCGATGTTTTGTCTATGATTTTTGTTTTTAGAATATAAAAAAAAACGTGTAATACCTATTGCTTAGGTAAATATTACTTGGCTGATCAATATTAATAAATAAATGATCCTGGTTAGTAAGAATTTTTTCTGATGTAGGAAATGTAATCCAGTAATAAAAAAATATTTTAAAATGAGAATGACTTGTAGTTTAGAAGGTTTATTTGAAAATAATTTTTCTATAATTATATATTTAAAAAGTATGCAATTATATTTTGTTAAAATGAATGTTTTATTATTGAAATTTAGCTTTATATTGTAAAGGAGTTTGTTTTAAAAAATGTTATAAATGAGGATAAAGGTATTTATAATTAGTTCTGTGTTTAGTTTTATTGGTGCAGGCTTGGTTTAGAGTGGTTGAGATATGCATCACAAATCAATGTAAAGTTACATCAAAATAAAATAGGCCATATCTTAGGCAATTTTAAAGTATTAAAAAAATAATTATTTAAAACACGTAGAGACTACAATGTGCCTAATCGTGTTTGTGAAGTCAATTTTGATTGACATTAAAATTTTAACCCTAACAGGGTTTGAAGTTTTATTGTTTATTTATATATTTATATGAGTTAACTTTATTTTATTTATCTTTGAGTGCCAAAGACAATCTAATGATATCGTATCGCTTAAAATAAATAATTCTTTTAATTCTGTAACATTCAAAACTATCTTCAGTCTTAAATGCAGTCGGACTGTTCAGTCAAAACTGAATGTGGACTGCTATAAATACTCTATATTATTAATAGGGAGAAAATAGTCCAAATATTATAAAAAACTTAAAAATAGGTATTGTATTATCAATGTAGTGTTCCGATAATCAAAACTTAATGTTTGTAAACTAACTATTCGTTTGATGTAGAGAATGGATATTGAACTGAAATGTTATTTACATAAATATGTTAAATAAAATAAGACAATTAATATGAATGTGTGGAATTAGATTTTTTGTAAACATTCACCTAACCATAAAATACTTCGAGTTTAAATACTAAAGCTATTAATTTCTGGCAACCAAAGTGTTAAAATACTTATTTAACTAGTGTTTATTTTTAAGGATATACAGTTACGAAATTTTGTTTACAAACTTTAAGTTTTGTATTGAAATAATATGAATATTAAATGCTTGATTAATTTGGCTGTTAAAGTCGTAAATACGTAGTTCCTGGCACAAATGTTATTTTGTAGTTGATTAGTTATCATATTGAATACAATATATCCTACGTTGTAGTAAAGTTGCATTTGTGTTTTATTTAGTTGATATTAAAATTGTTTTAAATACTTATTGTGTTTTATTTATCATACTAGCTATTGCCCGCGAATCCGTTCGCGTGAAATTTAAAATTAATAATGAAAAAACATAATCCATGTTAATCACAGATAAATTACCTTTCTAACTTCGCCATAAATTATGTAACTACTAGCTTTCGTATGTGTGATATAAAAAAACAAAAGTGAGTAGTCTATGTGTTCGTCCAGACTATCCTCTACACCTATACTAAATTTAATTAAAGGCCATAGGTGTAAGCGTTAGGCTACAAACGCTAACAAACATCCATCCATCCATCTAAAAATTCGCATTTATATGTGTATTTATATTATGTATGAAGTGTGATTATGAAAGCAGGTCTATTTGAAGCTGTTTTTGTTCTTTTTCGATGATTTTCATTCTTTATTCTTGACATTTGACGGCATTTCAATAATATGCCTGCAAAAAAATTAATAGTTGACATAAGTCAGATTAAATTTCAAAGATTTTTCACAAAACTAAATTAAATTTTTCAAAATGATAGGAGTCGGACAGTTACAAAATTTTACAGAACCCTTTTGCTTTATGAGGGATCCAATTTGAATTCTCTGTTGTTACAAAATAAATTATGTACCACAAAGGGATATAAAAAAGTTACTCATTGCCTATTCGATTTAGATGGAACTATACTGGGTATGGATTTTTGTTCTAATTTACATAAAACGCATTTTAATTTTGTATTTTTTAATACTACATGGCTACGACTTGAATAATGTTTTTTTTTACTTTGATTACCACACTATGATGGAGACCATAGACTATAAATATTTTTACTATTCCATACTATTTTATCAAATAATTTTCAGATTCAGAAATCATATACCACAAAGTAATACAGAAAATATGTCAGAGATACGGTAAAAAGTACACCACGGAATTACAAAACCAGGTAAACTTAATAAGATTGAGTACTTATTTGAGGTGTTAAAAAATACGACCAGATGTTAATCACAATATCATTAATTTACTACCTTACCTCGTTCTACTATAAAGTACCTTTTGAATAATTAGATCAACTTAACGAGAAAAGATAGCACAGGCCAGTTGTAGTGCTAGTTTCTAAAAGAATACTTTTCGTTAGAATACATTAGTTACCTTTACTACACTAGTATATTTTTTAAGCTATATGGCGTAACTGATCGTCAGTTAAGTATCGGAGTCGTAAGTGCATTAAAGCTATCAATATCTGTGGATGAATTTGAAAAGCAAATGACTGATATGGTACAAAAAAACCTAACAGACGCACCATACAAAGACGGTAAGTCGTTTCCTCATTTTATAACATTCCTAATATTTTTCCAGTCAGTAGTCTATTACTATTTTTATAATTGGTTTAAAACTAAAACCACTTTAGGTGCTGAACGACTTTTATGGCATCTTAATGCTAGTAAGATTCCTATAGCGCTGGTCACCAATTCCACAGACCAAGCTGTACAGATGCACGCAAAAGCGAGACCTAAATTGTTCGGTTTATTTCATCATAAGGTAATTTTTAATGCATTATTGTTATAGAATTTAAATATACTTAGTTAACTAATAAATTTATATTAGGTGTGCATTACTGACCCGGAAGTGAAGCGTGGCAAACCTCAACCGGATATGTACTTGCTAGGTGCATCTAGGTTCACGCCGAAAGCGAACCCCACACAGGTATTTGGGTCGACATACCACTGCAAGATATGCTGATAGCGTTTCAAAGCACTGACTTGGTTTGTGACTAGAGAAGTGAATCGCTTATTTTTATTTTTAGTGTCTCGTTTTCGAAGATTCGGTCGTAGGAGTCGAAGCAGCGGTTCGAGCTAAGATGCAGGTGCGTTAATTATTTACCTTTTTATTTTTGTGTCTTCTTAAAGTTTACTTTTTAATTCCCCGATTTTAATGGTATTTATATTCAGGTTGTTATGATACCGGATTATCGTATCGATAAACAATTAACGTTGAAAGCAACAATTGTCTTAAAATCCTTACTGGACTTGGATCCAACTCTATTCGGAATACCCGCATTTAAAGATGCCGTAAAAGGCAGATGAAACAAATACTGTGAGGGTAGTACTAAATCTTGGTATACGTCTAAACTTTTATTGTAAATTTTTTTCTATATATCAATATATTTTGTTATGTTGATTTTTGTTGATAAATAAAAGACATTGGTATTTTTCAGTTTTTTTTATTTGCTTTAAAACCAAACCCATATTGTTATTAATCACAATTAATTTTGTTTTAACTCTATAAAGTACATTTAATAAATATTTAACATATAGATACACTTAATGATGTTTACACAGAAAATATTGCGGCAAAAAAGCTTTCAATTTTGAACAAAACTCGTAATTTTTTTTAAACACTCAAATAGAATTTATAAAAAAAAAATCGAAACAATAGCTTAAAATAAATCAGCGTTGAAGGATATTTGAATAAATAAGGAAAATAAAATCTTTTAATTCTACTTTATAAAGTACTGTGTACATTAACTAAATTACATAGATAAATCTATATTTTACACAAATTTATATTACATTATGTTACATTATAATACACATCTTATTTAATGCTAATTAGTGAAAAAAAACTTAGTGGGTGATAGCTATAACAAAGAAAAATGAAGAATAAAAATTTGAGCAAGAAAAAAACAATGATTATTACCAAAATAAAGTTTTCTCAAACCACTATTAGAAAAGGTTTTTCATTCTATATGGTTATATTGGGATATATTTGTTTTGAGCCATTGACATGATCCACTGTTTAAAATAGACCCTTTCTAAATATAACCATTACGATCTGAATTATAGTATCAGAAATATTAAATGCGATAACGTGCGGACTTCCTTTAAATTAAAAAATAGTTTTATTTTTACTTAAATATTGAAACTACCGATAACAAGATAAAAATTGAGGATTTTTAGACTAATCTGATCGTAATGGCAAAAATTAGATGGATTTTTTAAGATCGAAAGATAAAAAAAAAAAAAAATCTTCACTGGTGACAAAAATATGGCTCAGTATTTAAGTATGAGAATCAACTATTATTTTATTATAAGTTTCTTTATAGAAAGAAAAACCGTCCCCTAATAAATGCGTATAGAATCTTAATGTATATTAAAAAAAAATCAATTTGATGTGTTTAATGCAAATCAAAGTGCAAAATTGTTTTCCTTCATCGGTTCATTCAAGTATTGGTTTTTTAATGTATTTCTTGCGAATGTTTTACAATTTTTGTCATTATTTAAAGGACTTTCAAACGTTCCAAGTTCAATTAATTTATCTTTAATCTTTAAGGTCATTTTTAAGTAAATCTTTACTCACGAGTACCTCAACTTTTTTTATTATGTTCCAGAAACTTGTGTAAAATGTAATGTAATTATAAATACAAAAAATATATATTTCTATTGACCTTTGAATTAGAGATATACCATTACTAATAATGATTTAAGCGACACGAAGATGCCGTCGCTAGGCACGTTCTGTGCACTCAAATTATTATCAGCGAATTCTGTTCCTTTTAGTTTTTAAAACCGCTTTAATAGATAAGTTATCAAGTTTCTATTTTTAACTGCAGTGTGGTCGTGTAAGTTTCTTTGTTTTGATATTATTAATGTGTTTTTGTTTTCGATCAATAAAATTTTGTGGAAAACGTGATGAAAAAAAAAATATTTTTCAATGTGTATTGCAGTTTTGTTGATCAAACTACAGTTCAAATGAAATTTGTTGATTCTTATAATCATCGAGGCAGATTTTCACAACCTTAATGTTTAGAATTTGTAGTATCTGCCTCTTAGTCAAGTTTAGACAAAAATAAATGTATAATTGTAAACGTATGTATGTATCTGTATAGAGGATACAGGATGTATATTTTTTCGGCTTCGGTGGTTACCGATACATTTTATATCACAATTCACGCTATAGTTCTTATTATAGCGTGTATAAGTAGTCGTATCGACAGGTCTTCAGTCTTCCTGGCATTTAACAGATCTTAAAATGCTTAGAACGCGCGCACGTTTGATTAAACTATCGCACAACTGTTTAGTCACACTACTCTTTTATTTGTGCAACTAAACAATTGAAGACTGCAAAACAATTGACAATCGCACAACAATTGTGCGATTGTTTAGTCACTGTGCGCTTGCTCTTATTGCTATTATAAATGTATTACTGATATCGTATTATCTTCAGCTTGAGATCTTTATACCTGTCTATGAACACATTTTAAAATTGTAGTTTTGTTACTACCACTGGTTGATATTTTTGTTGTCAACCTTCCCCGTCCATATAGTCCGATAGCCATAGTAATAAAAACTCCGTAATCATCGCAATAGTGAATGAACCAGCATATCAACGCGACTAGTTTTTATTTTTAGACGGGTACCTAAATGTCAAGGTTGAAAATTTTTGAAGCGAAATATTTTTTTTACAGCTAAGGATGGAATCGATATTTTTATTAAATTGCCTTCTTCTTGATAAGAAAAATGAAATAATAAAAAAGTGAAAAAATGAACTACACAAACATTTAATTAATTTCAAATACTTTGGTCCTCACTGTCCGCAATGACGACGAAGGTTTTATTTAAATGGTCGCCGAACTATACCACCGCATTAAGTTGAAACGTCTACGTCATTGCCGTGTATACCAAGCTTTAGACAGTTCAATTTGCTAACATCTAGCGCAATTTCATCGTTATTTAGACATTTGTGAGACATGCTTTTATTATTTGTCCCACTTACTTCGAAAATGTCATTAAGACCATTTTCTACTTCAATATCCTCTTTCTTTACTTGGTTTGCTTCATTTGTTGTTTCTTTAATAATTTCAGAATTTATTTCTACGTTTTTATCTATCGGCGTTTCTTTTACCTCTGCATCTTCTTTCTCTTTCTCGGCAAGTTCTTTCCTCTTCTGGGCGTTCCACCAAGGCATGAAACGTTGGAACATCACACGTGCTCTGTGCTGAGGCTTTAGCACCCAGGATACCGCCATTTCAACATCGGCTATTCTGTAATCAGCAAGAAACTTCAGCATATTTATGTTTCTTTGAAGTGAAATAACTTCATCATAAAAATTTATTGTTACATATTTATTTGAAATTCGGTATTTTCCATTAATAAATCCGTGACTAAATATTTACAAGTTGAATTTATAACATCACGTGCACCCGTATTGCTTAATCTATCAGAGTAAATAGTTATAGTTCGGTTAGGTCTTGGGAAATCCCAATCACATTTTGCCGATATATTTTTGTTATTCTATACATGACAACTTTGAGAGGGCGCACACCTTTGACCTAACTATCGCATATCTGTTGTGCGATTGTCTATTGTTTCGCAGCAAATTCAACTGTTAAACTAAAAATCGAGTAGTGTACTCACCTCATATTAGCTCTTAGGAATCAAATCGCTACTAAACAGTTGTGCGATAGTTATGTTTCAGATGTGCGCACGCCCTTATAACTCTTTGCACCTCAGGGTTGTATTCGGTACTAACCTTCGTTTGAACCTCTCGCGATCAAGAGCGTGCCGCTCCCAGTGGCCGGCCCGCGCCTGCCGCGCTGCGAACGCCCAAACTCTCATCACGTGCACCTTGGGTGGGTTCGGCGAGAACCGTACCTATGGCGGAAAGATTTCTTAGGGCGGCATGCCACTGGACAAATTTCTTGTCCAACAACCATATCCAATATTTGTTCAAACATTTGCCAAAAGTTCCATCTTAGCACTATTAAATATTTGATCAAATCTTGGATAAGGTTGGACAAGAAATTTGGCCAGCGGCATGCCGCTGGAAGAAATTCTTCGACTTCGGCTTTTTATCTTGTTCCCTATAAAAGGTTTGTACAATTTTTTATACATCTCTGTATAGGAAAGTTTTACATATAATTTACATTTCTAACTCTTAGCCATCATACATGAAGTCACACAATCCATCCATACTTTTTTTACCAATATAGTCATCCACATTCAATCATATTACTGTCTGGTTCATTATCACTTCGCAAAATACCACTAAATAATTTAACCTTAAAAAATAATAAATAAGTACTACTAATAGTGTTTAATTTGTTAATGAAGTTACACAAACGTTATAGTTTCAAAGTAAATTTTGGTGTAGAATAAATACGTGAGGTCAACACAGTTGCAGTATGTTGAAACACAAAACATTGCAACAGTACATTCAATATTTATAATTACTATAAATTAACAATAACCAATAAACATTATCTATACATTTGTGTGTCAACTGACAAAGAAGTACAAATATTTCAGGGGAACTTAATAATTAATTAATTAAATTGAAACGAAACCTTGCAAACCTTTAAAAATAATTGCAAAAGAGTTTCAATTAATTCTGACAATACTCCCAACCAAATTAATAAGGTTTTTAGTTATTTTTTTTGTCTACCTACATAAATTTTAGATACATTCTAGTGCAATGAATAAGGTTGGGCATTGAAAAATCTAGTAAGGTGTTATGGCCTAGACCTCACCTACATCAAATCAATGACACCATCCTGGAGTTCCTAATCACGCAAGAATTCGTGTAGAGATAGCTAATGAGCGGTCAACATGCACAACTGTGACATTGATCAAGGTCATGGACTGATTGAGGTCAATTAGGTACATATTATGAATAACAATACAAATGTGTTGTTTACCAATTAAAATAATAACAATGACATACATATTACGATTTAGAGTCAATCAACATAACATTCGTATGTAACACGAATGGCTAAGATACGAAATGAGTATATTAAAGGAAGTTTGAGAGTAGCCCCAGTAGTAGAGAAGGTAAGGAGTAATAGGTTAACATGGTATGGGCATGTTATGAGGAGGGATGAATCACATGTTACAAAGAACGTTAGTTATGAGTGTGGAAGGGTACATCGACAGAGGTAGACCTAGAAAGAGATGGATGGATTGCGTAAAAGGTGACATGATCAAAAAGTGAGTGATAATGATGACCAACATAACATTCGTGTTTAGTTTGCAAACTAATGTTTTTTTTTGTCAAAGATCAAGTCGTGAATGTATTGTTATATGTTAGTACTAAATAGTACTAAAATATTTCAAATATGGCTAATTAAATTTGGCTATAGACGTGTCAATACATGATCAACTCATTGTCACCGTCATTTTTTTGTAATACAAATAGCAAGAAAGAAATTATCAGTTTGAAAATTTTATTTGATGTTTCCAAAAAGCCCTCGGACACTTTCCTATAATTTAGATGTAATTGTAAAATGTTCTATTAGAATATATAAATTATAGTGTCCATCACATTAAAAAAAAAATTATCCACGATGACAAAAAAGGAAAAAAAAACCTACCGGTGTTTACCGCTAATAAAAAAATAATAATACAGGTAATGAAAATAGATCTTAAAAGAATAATAATAAAACAAAGCGCCGTCTAACAATACTCTATTTATTAGATGAAGTAAAACAATTATTTACCCACAGCACAATCAGCTATTAAAATTGTAACAACATTCCGACATTCCGACACAATCAGTTGCGTCAGCCGTTAAAGAAATGGTGTATTCATTGCTTTATTTATTACAAAACAACTAGAGCCATTGGTTCGAAAACATAGTAGGGGGCTCCTACGTTCGCTACTTTAAGTTCAAAACTTTCACTAAGACCGGTTCCCTAAGAGAGATATAATCTCGGGAGAAAAATCTATTTTCCATTACTCTTGTATATCTGAAGACTTGAATGTTTTACTACTCATGAGGTGAATAGAATGGGATCAAAATGACGTCACAACGTTGTCATTGTACAGTGTACAAAAAAGCACTTCACTATAACATCAACAAGACTAAATTTTTTGTCTACGTGACGTCACAGTGGTTTTCCACGAACTTTACTCCACTGTCTTGTCTTGTGAAATGGTCAGTCACAAGTCGGAACGGCCCTGAGACAATTTATACGTGGCGGATGACTCATAATTGTGACGTCACTATATCCTCTGAATCATTACAGTACGCATGCCCCCGATTAAAGTATAAACAGAATTGTTTATGTTCGTTGACCTTTACAAGGAAACAATGGAGATGAGCAAAAAAATACAATAAATTCCGCTGAACCAATCAATTGCGCTCAGATAAGATACGGTCTTACTATCTGGGAAATTAATATTAGATAGTAAAGTGTTGCGAAATGTTTTAAAAGTACCATATTTGAGTATTCATGCCGGTAAACCAATATGATGAATAAAGGAAATTCTTTAGTCATTTCCTTCAATAGATATTTCAAATGATAAACACCTCGAATATTGTTAATCAATTTAGAACTTTACTATGCACTACATACTGGTGAATTCTAATCGTAATATTTAATCAAAATTTTAGTAATCATGTGTAGTTAAAATATGTTGTAACATTACATACAAAATTAAGATATTGACATCTCTTTTATTCCCATTAAAGTAAGGGAGAAAAGACATGTTTTGTACAGGTGTCGGGAAACCCATAGTAAGTGTCACATCCCAAAGACATTCAACATTACAATAGACGGGATATTGCGAAGCACCATTACACTGATACAATGTCTTTTGACAGAGCAGACGTGGCGTCCTTTTATCTATTCAAAAACAGGGAGAGATTATGCTGCAAAATTTGAAGGAAAGTGTTCGGAATGTCCACTCTACTAATTTAATCTCTTTGAAACACCTAAGTAAATGAAGCTTCCTGTAACAATTCCTGGATTTGTTTAGTATCTAATATGTTGTGATCTCCCCTTTTGAACAATTATAAAGTTCTATAATATCGTATTTCCTCTATTTTTCATTCGAATACGACGTATATTATTATAAACATGATAAATAATTTTTTATGCACATTTATTACTTTATTTCACATAAATATGCAATTAAATAGCTATATTAATATTGGCTTGAATTTTCTACGATGCTTTTTCATTAGTTAATTATGTTAAATCTTTATTTTAAGATGCCAGCTCTATATTCTGCATCATAAATCCTCTTTGTCTAAGACAGAATAGTTTGTCTTAATTAAAACTTTTAATGTAACGTAGTTACAAATTAAATGTCACTACGACAGTAATAAATTGATCAAATGAATTATAATACAAAAGATTATTTTAGTTGTTGAGGATGTCCATTGTTTAATGTACCAATTATAATCTTTGCTACAGAATGATTGGTACTATGTATCGAGTGTAGACATATCACTATCTCTTTTTTGTCAATAAGAATGAAAGGGATAACTGTCAGTTACAAACAATGCTTAATCTTATGCAAGTAATTCTGGCTACTTCATATGGTTACTAACAAAGAAATTGGATGAAAAAAAAATTAAAAAACAGTAAAAAGCTTATTCCTGATGCAAACAAATAAACAATAGTTCTGCACTCTTCTACCAAAGAGAATGTCCTCGTCTTTAACGTTATATAAATGAGCTAAGGTCGATACCGTGTCGGCCAAGAGTCGATGGAAATCAGCAAGTCATTATTAATCATTAAAAGCTGATGCAACATGAAAATTTATGCTTAATTATGAAAAAACCTAATTCTAATAATGGTTAGGCTTTAGCTAAGTAACAGAGTTCAGTTTTAGAGTTAATAATAAACTACACTTTGTTTTAAATCTTTCTCTAACTAATAATATAAATGTGACTGTTTAGATGGATGGATGTTTGTTATAGTTTGTAGCCTAAACGGCTTAATGGATCTAGATGAAATTTGGCATAGATCTAGAAGAACACATAGGCTACTAACTTTTGTTTTTTTTAATCCCACGCGGACGTAGTCGCGGGCGAAAGCTAGTACCCAAAAATTGTAATCTTGTGACATACGACGATCAAATTATGACATCACAGAATAGCAGAACTACATTTGTACAATATATACAGATATTCTTATATATATCTGTATATATTGTACAAATATATACAGATATATATAAGAAGTGATATAAGATATAAGTGATATACGTCATCACATAGCTAAGATTAATTCCACATTACACTTTTACGTTCGTTAAAGCATTGTGTTGGTGAAAGTACTTTAGTAATGTATCTCTTATTTTTTCTGTAACAACTGAGAACAATATGCTTTTTAGCGTTTTGGCGGTGGAAATCAACGATATTGCGACGTAAACACACGTTATCAAGTAGTCACCCTTGAACGAAACATGTTGAAACTGACCGACAAGTAAATGCAATGCGTCTTGTTTAGTAAAATATAGCACGCACGAGACATTCTCGCAAGATATGGATTAAGTCAAATGAATTACTCAATTAAAGGGAGAATGAAAAACTAGAAGATCGTTTTGTGCTCTAAACCCGTAACTATATTAACCATATTTAAATGACAAAGTGTTTTTTACTAAAACTACGATATCCGTATTTAAGTTTGAGAACCAACTCTACTAGTATCACGTTATATTGCCGTCTAATTTACGTTTAGATTTTTTTTATGTGAAAATAAAGATTTTTTCAAAACCCGAGGACAAAATTGTTATCATTTCGTAAATATCTCTGCTATTCTCGGATCAAAACATCTTTGAATCTCTTTTGTAAATTATGCTGTTTACATAGCAGGGATCGCCAACAATGGCACAGTGAATATTTGTTTTTGTTTGCGATTTCACTGCGATCATTGTTCTCAATCAATTTCATTATCAACATTTTACAATAACTTTAGATTTCGACACATTTTTGTCCCTTTTTTTGAAGGAGGATAATAGATCACGATTTATACACAAGTGTTACACAGTGGAAACCTACTGTTAGATCAGTTATTTCTAAACGACGCCATCAAATAACGTAGGTGGTGAATGCGCATTCACGCGCCACAATTAATTATACATCAGACTTTAGAAACTAAAGAAAAATTAAAAAAAAACGTTGCAAAATCACCTAAAACACTTCTAAAATTGGTATTACATCATATTATATTTCGCGTTTTACGTTTAAAGTTTATCAATAGAGTATAATCCAGTATGTAGGAACAAAATGATAAACTTATCGCGTACGTTACACAAAAATGGCCGACCAATGAAGGGGAAATATGAACTTGTCCCTGGTCAGGAAATTACATCAAACTGTTTCAAGCTACTATTATTATGACAAATACGACTGTATAACTCTAGTAATAAGGTGGAAAACTCAATGAAGTGGTGATTTTATTTGACAAGGTAAAGCAAATGAAGTAAACAAGTTGTAAAACCTTCATTACAAACGGTTTTAATGAATAAATTCTACGATTTTGTATAACCATCAGTTTTCATTGCCAAAACATCTTTATAGTAACATGTCCTGCTCATTGTCTTCGAAATAAACAAAGATAGCACTATGTATCTTGAAAGGGTCCTTGACTCATTTGATTTCGTCGTATTTTCTTTCATATAAGTTACATCATGTTAAGAATTTTAAGATGAGTAATACTTATTTGTTTACATAAACTTTGTGATATATAGAACATAGAATACCATAACAAAAACATTGTTATTTATTTGAATTGAAATAAATAAATAAATAAATATGTAAGATTAATTTACTTTCATTAAATAATAATAAACTTACTAAAATAATTTATACAACAGAACCACAAAAAAACATATACAGACTTACAAATAAATATAGTATTAAGTTAAACTTAGGAATAAACTGAGTATAAGCAAATATTAGTACAAATTTTGCTTATACTCAAGTTATTGCTAAGTTTAACTTTATACTACATTTATTTGTAAGGCTGATACAGTTCATATTTAAATTGATAAGTTATTGTGCATAACTGTTGCGTTGCAATTGTTAGATTTAACCGAAAACCTTGTTAGTCATGTTTAATAAGTACCCCAATTTATGACAAAATATTAGAGACAAGTTAATGTTGTTTGTGATCGTAAATGTCACACACTTCAATCATCAAATGACAATTTTGTTAAAAAATAAGTAACTGTTTAGTGCCTAGAAGTGTAAAAATATTTAGGAGCAATAATGTTTGTATTTTTTTAATAAATCTCAAGATTTTTATGAATAAGAACATCTTATATGTTTATTTTATTTGATAGAGTAAATTGGTACTTACAGTTTTACATTGTTTTTTCTTCTCCAACTTTCTCCTTTCATCAATGAGTAGACCTCTTGGTTTTGTTTCATCACATGTCCTATCTTCACATTGTATTAATTCTTGGCTGTTTTGTATTTCTTGTACAAATAATGCTGCACAGTCCACTTCATCCGCTTCAATATACAAAGAATCGTCCGTCAAATCACCTATAGTCCGTGACAATGTATGAGACAGCTTACATGTAGGTTTGTAATCACATCCAGAATCACTTTCGGAGTCTGAATCTGATGTGTCTGACTCTGAAGTATCAATGAAGTCGTATCCAGTAACATTTAATTCATCACCGAAGACATCGTTGGAGGAGTAACAACTGTCAGGTGTTTCATCAAAAACAATAAATGAGTCCTCGGATTCACACTCTGATGGTATTCGCCCTCTACCCAAATTGGGGTTATCGGTGAACACAATTTGAAAGGAATCATCACTTTCAGCGGAGGTTGAATAAAACCTTCCAGTGACTTCATCAAAGTAATTGCATGGATTTAGATATTCTGAAGTGGTTGAACTTTGGCTATCAGATAAGGCACCTTCCAAATCCTCTTTAATATCTTCTGCAATATCTTCTGAGCATGAAATTTGAGATGGACTTTTAGCGGTATTTTGAACATTAACCCCTGTTTTTGATTCATATTTTGTATTGCATGGTATTGAAATAGGTTCACTTTGCTCTTTACAATTATTGCTTTTTTTAATTTCAGGTGATTTTAAACTGTCATTATTAGTTTTAACTTTTCCCCTATCTTGCAGAAGTAATTTCAATTTATTAATTTTATCTTCACATGATAAGACAACATTTGAATTTTTCTCACTAGTTTTATTCAATCCAATTTCTTTATATGTTTCAATTTCATTTTTTATATCAGGTAATGTGTTAGTTATTTCCATACTTTCAGTAAGAGGCATATATTCAGTCTTGTCTCTAGGTGCATCGGATACCAATTGTTGTGATTGTTCATTACTAAATGGACCATAGTATTCAAAGTAGCTGTTGTCGGGAAGGCTTTCAAAATCTTCATGTGTAAAGGCATCTTCAAAACAATCCTCAGCGGGACTCTGCTCTACAAATACCTGAGTATCTGCTGTACATAATCCCGGCTGACATTGAGTTGGCTGTTGATTAGCAAAGAGGAAACATACCTGATTAAGTTTCTCCTCACAATCTGCAGCATTCATTCCACAGTTTGAATTAATATTAAAACTGTTTGTATTATTTGAGTCATTTGTACTGACAGTAGTTTTGTGTGCCCGTCCATTTTTATTTAGATCCTCAGGCTTGGCTTGCTGCCAAGCTTGGAGAGAGGGCGCCATCTCATCGAAATTTTGATCGTAGCATTCGTAATAGTCGGAAGAGTCTGACCGCCTTTGAAACATAGCACCAGATACAAAACTAAAGACACCTGAAAGGAAGTTTGTTACGATGCTCAAGGATGGGTATGATTCTGTTCTATGTTCCGCCCGGTTTGGGGCATCCCTCTTTTCGTTCGGTTTCATGTTTCCTTCTGTAGACGTCATGTTTGTTTTTGCTTTTTCTTCTCCAGTTATAAAAGAGTCCGCCAAATTTTTCTTCAAAGGATCCGGTATGAGATGAAGGTTGTCTATATACAAGTTGTCCCCGAACGTATTTTTCATATCTAATTTCATTTTTGTTGCGTCTGATGAATAATTGGTGACGGAATGAAACGGAAGAAACCCACCGAAGTGGAATCGGTTGCGTTTATTACGCATATCGCTCATATAAAAATTATTCATTTTTCAGTTTATGCACACCAACTTAGTCTTAATATTAAACCATTATCACTCACACTAATTTATTAACGTTAAAATTAAACCACTTCACAGAATGTGGAGTAGGCTTTTGGACAAGTCTACAACACTTTATACACTTCAAAGGCCGTAAGGGGTTCCAGTAACCAGAGTCGTCGTTAATTGATATCACGTTATTGTCAGTACACTTTGTATCACCACAAGTAAAACTGTTAGTAATGTCAGGATAACTGGCAATAAACTCTTTTTGGGAAAATAAATTGGTAATTTGCTCCATTATGCTTGAAATACTCAAAAACACGTCTTTATAGCTCAGCCATTTTGTATAAATTCATTTTTCCTTCCTTTAGTTTATGACATGTTGTCGTAATTTTGTTGCCATATCTTGATTTTAATTTCATTCCATAGGCTAAGAATATTCGGTTCGAATCGCTAAACATCGACAAGAAAATCGAATTAAAATGGGACCGATTCGGAATTTGATAACATTATCTTTTTTAATTCTTCCAACTTTAAAAGTTTTAAATTAGTATTTTAAGCATAACGTTTTGAAAGAATAATTGCCTACTATCTTTATTTCTATATAAGTTTGGGTATAAGTGTGTATAAAAAGTAGTAATCATATTATCTTTGAAGCACAGTACGCAACATTGTAACTTTGCATGCAGTGTATGGCACCTCAACGACATAAACATTTTAATACTAAAATTAATTCAATAAGAAGCGTTCCAATTATATTATTCAACAAACATTTCTGTTTTTATTCTGTAAACACACATACGACGTGTTTATTAGAGTTATAGACTGACCAGAAATATAAAAAAACTATCTATGTTGTGAAAAATATCGCACTAATTTCTTTGTGCACATGGGCAAATATTGTAACTCAGAAGTGATTGAAGAGTCTTCACGGCAGGATTTTTTAAATTGTTGGTGATGTCATGCCACAATACTTCTCAATAGATAGATGAAATTTGAATTGGATGTATGTATTTTATAATATAAATGAAAACTTCGATATTCCTTCTTATGGTTTATTTTCCGTGCGACAGAAGTATAATTTTTAAAACACTTGCGTGTGTCTGCCCGCACGACCGAAACATAGGCAAGAATTTTATCATACTCAATGGGAGATGAAAAAAAAACCTGGTTTAGTGTTATTTTTCCTTTATTATTCCTTAAAAAAAAACAAAAGTATTTTATTTAATGTCCTTTGAGGAAGTTTATTTGATGAATTAAAATGTACAAAAATATTCCATAATCTTGATACCAAATCATTAAAAATATACAATGAATTACTTAATGTTTTTATTATTATTTTATTCGTTCGAAATATATGATTTCTCTCCTTCCAGCCAGCTTCTTAAGGAATTGTCGATTGAAGCAACGTAGGCAGTCATCGCCGGAATCCGCGAGTACAAGAACCAAAGGAAGAGTCCGATGAGGATTATTTTAAACACGATGTCCACCACGTAACGTCTGCAAAACATTTAAATTGGTTATATTATTTTTTTAATTTCAAAGTAAATAGTACAATTCAATGAATTGTTTTAGATTATACATTTTCTATGGACTGTGGGTTTTAAAAAGATATTTTATTTTGCTTATAATGCAAATCTTATACTTTTCCTTACACTTTTTGAAGCGCCTGTAGTAATATGTCTGCAAATTTGACTTAGTGGTATGATTTGCATTTTTATAAGTGAAGAATAAACTTAAAAACTACTCAGCCGATTTTTTAAATTCTTTTACCATTATCACTGAGTAATAGAGACTTTTTTTTTATTTAACCGCCATTATTAATAAAGGAAAGACTTCTTGCATGTAATATTAACTTACATGTTGTTCAATTTTCTAGCACGCGGTAAATTGTTAGGATCCTCTTTGAGAACATAGTGTCTGGCGCCGAGAACGTAATCTTTCAAATATTCCTGTTCATCTAAAGCGCTGATGTCAGTATAAAATATGTCATCCTCTTCTTTGCTTATCCTTTTTTGTAAGGATAAGAAGTTGGTGTTCTTGAAATACCACTCCTTTGTCGTATAGTACTGGAGGACACTGAGACCATGGCTGATACGTTTTTGAACGTTTACCATGCTAAAAAATAAATTTAATTGGTTTAAAGTGCAATATACCAAAAACATCTAACATTTTTTTTAATATAGACGGAGAGAGGGTGACTGGCAAGTTTTAGATGAAGATGTGATGAAAGGAGTTAGAAAGGAAACTACATTAGTACAATTTGGGATTCAAACACGGAAAGGAAAGAGAGGGAAAGAAATTTAAGTTTATGTTAAAGAAAAAAGTTTAAAGTAAGATACACACAAGAACAACCACAAAAGTACTTACAATGTTTTCTTTCCCAGTAGAAACAGCAGAGCATCAACAAGATAAGCTGGCAGGAGATGTGTAAATATGAGGTATAACTGATGCGTCAGCCAGTACGACCTGATGTTGCCGCCTACATACCACAGCGCCAAGGTGTAAGGATATATGGTAACCCATTTTTTACCTATAAGTAATTTATTTAAATTATTAGAGATTGTAACATTTATTTTATTAATTAAGTAACGAGCAGTTCTCCAAATATTATTATTTAGTTTAGCAAAAACGTTTGTAATTTTTATAATACCTATTTCAATAATTTGTCCCCAAGTAATCTTCTTTATACCGGACAGCGTTATGTTATAAATACGCATTTCTTTAGACCTGAAATTAAAAAAATAATTGTTAAGTAGAATGCGTGCGCACTGTTCTAGGGGTGACTGTTTTCTGTTTAGAATATTCTACTGTAGTTATTTATCTTTAAAATATTTTACCTGTCAATAGCAGTCGCGTAAGCAATCAATATGCATCCGTTTGTGACGACGTCGACGGGTATGGCGTCCGCATGGTAGGAAGGTTCGCAGTGCATTGTGCGAATTACTCCTGGTAGATAAATTATAGAGTTACATATTATCTATTACAAGACCCGTTTTAATAAAATTGGGCGCCTGAATGTGAAATCAGTCCGCGCCTTTAAAATTAGTAAGATCATTGACTGGCGCCCTCTAGAGCCCGGCGCCCCCAACTCTGGTTTAATACAATCCTGTCTGTTATTCTTAAAGGTCATTTTGAGTTGAACACACTGTACAAAAGTGTATTGTTAAGTGTATTGTTTTTGAATACAACATATTTTTGTACATGTGTGTTGCCAGTAATTTGGTTTGGTTAATTTGATCCATAAATTAAATATGTTTTTACACTACATACCCTTTCCACTTCCAATAAGAAGTCCAGTAGGTCCATTCTTATTGTCTACCCAACCGGGCATTGGTTCTTTCCATGAAGAAGTTACTGTAATAAAAGAAGATTTCATCTATTAATTTAACAATTTTATAGTTTGTTTACTACACAAAGTTATAGGAAATATTAGACAATTAAAAAAATGTACGTTATTTACTTCACTTACCAATAGATGGCCTGCCGATAGCGATTGGAAATTTCGATTGATATTCGGCGACTAAATTCTCGGTTATCGCTTTAGTGTAGGAATATGTATTTGGTTCCGAAACAATCAGCCTGTACAAAAAAAAAATAGAATATTAGCGAATACCCAACAATTTAAAAGGGCCTACCTAGCCTTAGAGCTCTAAGTAAACGATTGTTTTTTGTTTTAATTAGTCAAGAATTGACATACTTGGGTTCTAAGTAATTGAGCATGTCGTTGTCCATCCACTCTATGATGTCCATGACACGCCGCGGGCTGTGCATGGCGGGGTACAGCTTCTCCTCCAGCTCGGGCAGCTCGCAGCGACAGTATGCCGTCGATAGATGCACGAACGCCTGATATTTTATAATAGCAATATAAAATTATAGAGAAAATTTCGCGTAATAAGATATTATCAGCCTTGTCCCTACGGAGTGTCAACACAGTATACGCAGCTCTTCCATACATCTCTATTAGTCGGCATATCTGAATTCAATTTCTTAAGCACATCCTGTTAGACGGAATCATGTAAAATCTTACCTCTAGATTCTCCATGGTCTCGGCTAATTCCAAAACACGCAGAGTCCCTGTGGTGTTCAGGTTAACGGCATCCTTTAATTTTTGATCAAATCTAAAATAAATAATAACACTAGAATATCGTCTTGGTTATCTTGTTCGTTTCGTGTATACTTTAGAGATTTTATTTGATTACCTGACGCAAGCAGCACTATGAAACACAATATTACAGTTTTTCTGCAACTCCTGCCTATCGTCATTTGAGAGACCAAGCTCGTCTTCGAGTATGTCGCCGGCTACAAGTTTCAGCTTATTGAATACCTCAGGCTGTTTCGCTCTCAAATTCTCGAAACACTAAAAATGATATTTATAAAGTTAAAAGCAATAAGCATCACGAATGCAAGATATAGTGCAAATGTTACATTGATAACTACACCCATATTAAATAAAAAATTGCAAGCATCAAAAACTATTTGTGAAAGGAATGAAGCGATCACTCGGACGCCAATACCATTCGTCATTCGACTTTGACCTATCTATCTATACTTCTATACTATTATAATAAAGAGTAAACACACACTTCTTTATTGCCTAAGATGTCAGCAATTACAGCATATTTTTGAATAATTCTTTATTTAATAATAAGCCCTACACTTACGTCACGCTTTAGGCTATATATTTTCATGCCATTAAACTAAAGTAAATATTTTAGATAAAAATCCTTATGTGGGAAAGAGACCATAAGTTACTGCCAACATCAAGGAAGCAATTGTCATTTGTGCATTTGAATTTTGACACTTCATGCGGATGAAGCCGCACTGGAACAGCTAGTATCCTAATACAAGCTTTGTTTCACTTTTACCTTATTATTGCATAGTTCTTTCAATCTATCTTCGCTGCTCACTCCCTTTTTCTGTCTCAACAATAAATATATCTTACTGACGCCGCCACAACTTCTCAAAAGCTTCTCCACTAGTACCTGGAAATATTTACAATAAGTGTATAGACTCCATCGTTCTATAAAATTAGTACTTGTAGTTAGCCGCTAATTCTACTAAGAGTCTGTCCAACCACTAGCCGATAGAACCTTATAAAGCCTAAAATGACACCACTATCAGATAAGAGAACAAAATCCATCACATATTTATACGGTAGATTGTTATCAGACAAATTACAATTTAGTGGGACAGGCCCTAAATGTCCTACTTATTAGCGCCACTGTCATTTTGTATATAAGTCGCATTTGCGCGACTGAATATAGAACATGACTCGCATTTCGTCAACACATTAAATCGGTGACGTATAAGTTGAACATTAATCAAATATATGTTAGCAAAATAAAGACACCTAATTTAACGGTTTGTACAAAAATAACCTACAAACATATTTGGTTAACAAATTTTTAATGACATGCATTTTAAATAATTTTACAGAAAGTATAAAGCTTGTTTGAAAGGTTAAATAGTTACTCTAAAATCTGCTAACTGTAGTCGATGACTTGATTTTAAATTGTATTTACACGAACACGTATTATTTAAAAAATCATTAACTTACCTTGCCCACAAATCCAGTGGCTCCTGTTATTAAAATAGATTTTCCGGTATAAAAGTCAGCGACTGACGGCTGCATGTTGTTTTCTTCAGATTCTGTAAAGAAAATTGTTCAATATTCATCATCAACATTACATAAATCTTATAGCCTGTACCACCACTGGCTGATAGAGGCTCAGATAGCCTAAAAATGACGTCACTGTCAGATAAGGTAACAAAATTGGATTGTTGTCAGACAATTTACAATTTGGTGGACAGGCCCTTTATAGTGTAAATGTTATCGGTAATTACGGATTAAAATAATACTAATATCTAGCTAGGAGATAGTTTAAATTCATAGGTTAGAACACGCGGATGAACATTTTTAGAAATAGGGTGTAATGTGAAAATTATTTATGTACAAAAATAGAATTTAGAATATAACTGTAACTATCATAGAATATTTTCGAGACAGTATACGTAACTTTATTGTCAAATTTCGTATTAGATTTATACAACGGGCATTTACACCGACAACTACTGTTTCACAAATTTTCGTGTTAAGCCTCTTGTTGTTTAGTTACAAACAATATTATGTTGGTATATTTCACTCTAATAATGCAAAGTTATCTTCCATTTCAACTGTTTTATTATCTTTAATTTCCATCGTAATTAAATTGACCATTAAAATATGCGAAAGTGTATAAACAACCTAGTTATCGTACGAGTGCGCAACCTTTACCAATATTTGACATGTAATTGCAGGACATTGCTGTATTTATCATATCATTATACAATGCGCAATTTACAACGCAACGCAACTAGCTTTGTGGTTCAAATGGATCAATGTATTAAAAAAGGAAAACTGATTACATGTCGGGTTACACATAATTTTTACGGTGTGCGATCAAGCGCGATCAATCTATACAGTTAGTAAAAATGTATTTCTATGTAATCTATACATACATATAATAAAATTGGATAGTCTGTTTGTACTATCAAAAGAAAAATTCCAGATTGCGGGACGAAAATGGCTTAACGCGTGGTCCAAATTTGCGCAAACTAAGTTTGTGGGCGACAGCTTACTTGTGGGTGACAGCATTTTCATGCACACGATATATTATTTTTAAAATTCTTGTCTATCTGGAATTATTCGAAATAGCCGATATTAACGGGATTTTAATGGAAGTTAATAGATGCAGGAGTAACAAGTTCTAACTTTTAACAATACTATTGATGCGTAGGCTTAAAATGTTTGCAAACCTTTAACTTCAAAGAAATAAAATAAATTTCGCTATTTTATTTGTTTTTATTGACCTGTGACTTATTTAACGTACAGAGGGCTTATTGCGAATATTCATGAAAACGTTTTCGTAACGTCATCGACAATATTTGTATAGGTTTTTGCAGCCTACCGGGAGTAAAGTACTCCAACAAATGACATATAATGTCTATAACATTACGAATACTTTCTCGCAACTGGCAAATATTCGAGATAGCCCTTAAATATTTGGACTGCTTAGGGTTTATTAAAACCTGAACTTACTTATTTACATACAATGGAAATGGAAATGCCTATTATTGTCATTCGAAACTGTTATATATGTAAGAAGGGACATTTTTAATTAATAATTTTAACTTAATATAAAAAGACAACTCAATAGCTGTATTGGATTGTTAATAGAAATATTAACAAATCTAGCAAATAAAAAAGTGTATGTCACTTTTTTTTATAGCAAAAACATCGTTTAACAGAATTTTAACTGATATTTCTTTATCGTGGGGAAATGCCTAACCCACGCTTACCACTCAAGGGCTAACAAAGATAAGGGCTTGTACCGACTAAAACAGTCGTTGGCGACGTTGTATTTTCACAAAATTGCAAAATAATCTTGATATTTAGTTTTTAAATTGTTGGATTTTCTGCATTAATTACGCTGACTCCATGTTTCATTAAAACGATAATACTAGAAAGGATTAGTGTTATATTTGTTGACTAACCTTATTCTTATTGAAGTGTGAAGTGCGCTGTACGACGAAGTGGTCACGAATGCTTACTGAAATATACTGAACGTGGATGTAACTTTATTAAATTATTCATTGTAGTTACGAACTGGTCAGGGCTGCTTACTTGGTCATTATACAGTCCTTAGTTGATGATTATTAATATATACTAATGATTCACAAATGGTAATAAACCAAATTTTTATTATCCCATTAGTAGTTTATCAGAAGCGGTGACTTGTTTTAATTACTACACTTAGTGACTTTAATTCGACTAAAAGAGGAAAGTTAAATAAAATCTAAACTAAGGGATAGTTTGAGTAACCATTAAACGACTTTCAATGCGCTGTGTATACGAGTAAAATGGTGGTATCAGCAACGTAAACACGGTTTTTATTTTGTCTTAAAAAAACTTATATTTTTTGTATAATCTAAAGTATGTTATGCGGTATGGGAAAAATTGTTTATGTCCAGTATTTAGTTTTCATTCAAGTGAGGTCATTGAAGTTTCTGTAACTGTTGTTATGTACTCAGACTCTAGGGACTCTCAGTAAAAACGGTTTTAACGATGGCAGTATGACTATTGAAGTTACACTTGTTCAAAATTGTTTGTGGCAACCCTAATAAATACCAATATGTGATCAAACAAGCAACACTGACGGATATCGCATTATAATTGAAGAAAATAGTATCTCGTAACGGTACCATGGTATTCATAAAACTATTTTGGAACTTTAGCATTGTAACTTTTACATTTAGGAAGCACAATGGCAATTGAAGAGTCCTTTATGGTATCATCCAATATCATATTAAATCTATCCTTAAAGACGCTAGTTATATTATAGAACTCTTATTTGTTTTAATGCAAATATACAAAAGGTTTTCATTTACTAAACATGACAAGGTATGAAACGAACATTTGCGATGAACTGGATACGAATTGGACTTCGAACCATTATATGGCATAACAAGAATTTGTAAATAATCGTTACAAATGAATACCAAAAGTATACCAATTTTTATTTCATATTCCTTAAATTAATCTGAATTTACATTCCTTTGTAGGTTATATTAATAGCACTTTATTACAATAATTAGTAATTACAAACATTCAGTAATTAATAAGATATACCACATTGAATAATTATTAATAAAACTATTTAGTGATTTAGATATATTTACACCGTTTATATTTCTATATCTATCTTACTATAGGACACAATATTTATAAACGTCCAATTTTATGCAGTACAAAAGTTTTAAGTTATACTTAATATTACACATAATTAGCAACGGTAACTCAACTATAAATGACCTGTAGATCAGCACGTGGATGAAATAGATCAGTGAACCGACTCGCAGATCAGCTCAGTACCTACGTAGAGGTATGATTTGAGTGAGCTGTGACTTAACGAACAGATCGCGGCTCATTGACACCTACAGTTATGTACTTCGCGTTGAGCTCCGAGCTAATTTGTGTTAAGCCGTATTTCAACGGTTCAAGACTATGTGAACTGATCTGTTGAGCCAGTTTAGATTGATTTACTAACGTCTAGTTAGAATAACAATTATGTTTTAATATAGAAGTTTTGCTCGCGACTTCTTCTGTGTGAAATTTAAAAAAAATTACTCAGTGGTAACATATGGTAGCTTTTTAATGGTGCATTTTTAAAATCGGTCCAGTAATTTTTGTGTTAGTTATTGAACTATTACTATTATGTATAACTATTATGTATTGACATACAAAAAATCAAATCTTTCCTTTTTATAATAACAGATTAGATAAGGTATGTTTTAAATTAAGGCATAACTTAAAAACAGAGTTGAAAATTTTGTACTGAATAAATAATTTTGATTTTGATTTTAGTATGAGAATTATATTTTCCAATATAGAGAAATATGACCGATTTCAATTCCATCATCATCATCACCAGCTCACTATACGTCCCCACCGAGGGGCTCTGAGCCTACCCTAATAAGGGTTGACTAGGCCATAGTCAACCACGCTGGCCCACTGCGGGTTGGTTGACTTCACACACATAACTTTGAATTTCGTCGCCGATATGTGCAGGCATCACGATGTTTTCCTTCACCGTAAGAACGTCGAGTAAATTTCAATTCGAAACCTTTAAATTCATTAACAATGTACAAAAGTAATTACATACAATGATCTAAATCCTTATCGAAAATTGAATTGATATTATTTATACATTGTGAGTTCAGTCACAATTTTAAGTATTTGTATTATATGCATTGAATTTGATTTTGGTCGAGCGTTTTCATGAATACAATACTGGTGATGGACAAAGGTTGAAAAAGTATTCGTTTAATCGCTTGTCCCACCACTGGCTGATAGTCTCAGATAGCTTAAAAATGACTTCACTGTCAAATAAGATAACAAAATCCGATATTTCCTTCACATATTTTACACGTTGGATTGTTATTAGACAATTTACAAGTGACGTCATCTTAAGCTATCTGAGCCTCTATCAGCCAGTGATAGGACGGGCACTTAAAGTTATAAATACAAATATCACTAAAATTATTTTTATATGAAACAGTTGGTGTTGACGTAAAACATTTGTTGTGGAAAGTAATTTTATTTTATTATAGGTATAATACATATATTTTTATTAATTTATTCAAGTATGGATTTACATTTCATTTCGGTGCATATATTAAAAATGTAATGTCATCGATTCGAATGAGTAATCGACTTGTCATAGCGGTACCTGCCCTATAAAATGGCGAAGTATACATAATTACATTAATAGAATAAATCTAACTAAAAATCTTTCGTATAAAATAGTAATATATGAAGTAAGCGAGGAGGGAATACAGGACGAACTGCACCGCTTTGTCCAAAAAGTAAAGCCTGAAATAAAAATAAATATATTATTAATATCTTCCGCAGGTATAGTAGTCTTCATATATCTTAGCCACTCTGAACGTTAAGAAACGCAGTGCGCAGATGGCTCGGAGCCGCCAAGATATTTGAAAAGAACCGTAGCCAACACAACTTTATGTTATTCTATAAACCATGACAGGAATCGAACCTACGTCCATATGATCCGTATATTGTAAGCTTAACTCTTAAGCTACTGGTGTTTATCATACTTACTGTTTTTGTAACCTCCTCGCTTGTGGCAATGTAGCTGGGTCTTCTTTGCAGCAGTACTCACGAGCCCCTTTTATATAATTCCTGATGTATTTACTCCAGTTCACCAGCTGCACAAAATATTATATACGTAAAATAATACAAAATACATTAAATTTGATCAAAAATATAGTTATTTAAACAGTCTAGATTCTTACGAATTTTAAATCACGTATTGTGGAAATACAAAAATGTATAAAAATCTAACTATAATAAGGAAATAAGGTATTTGAATTATATGCTAAATTGTCTTTTATATGTAAAATACTCACGTCCATTTGCTAGTTATATGTAAAGTTATTTAAGGTAATTAATGTACTGTTATCTCTGTTTTTTAAGATAATTGAAAGGACACGAAATAATTTAGTAAAATAGAATTAGCACGTCAGAAACTGAAGCATACAAAGAGCCATCTTAAGCGTAACTTAAGCATGTGTATTATGTATTGCTAAATTTTCCACTGTACTTGAATTCGTGACACATTAAATCCTGAAGCATGCTTCTGAAAAATGTGCCAACTTAAGTGGGCATGTGTTGCTTTTTACGCTGTACTTTTTGAACTCATACTTACATTCATATCTGTATAAAAGGTTTCATTGTCTTGTTTTGATATCTTCTCTCGTAACGACACGAAGTAATCGTTCGTGAAGAACCACTCCTTTGTTGTGTAATACTGGAGCACTTCCAGACCGTAGTTGACACGCTTCTGTATTTTCACCATACTGTAAACACGGTTTATAAATAGTAAGAAATAAAAAGTATATTTCAGACTACACACGGTTGTCACGATCCGTGTACACAGTTCATTAGCATGCATTAACTAAATAAGGAATACTAACAATGATCTTCGCGAAGTTACGAACAGTATTCATGGAATTAATTGATGTTACGTATTATGATTTAAGGATGGGAATATGCCAGTTGCTGACACACTTGCATGTCAGCTTGCATGTGTCGTGTCGAGTTAGGCTTCGACAGGGTTCGATCTTGTCACTGACGCATCTCGCCTCATATGTTCTTTTCAAATTTTGTTTTTTCTATGTTGTCTTAAGTAAACAAATTAAACTTACAAAGTTTTCTTCCCCATGAGGAACATTAGCAGGTCAACGAAGTATGCTGGTAGGAAGTGGGTAAAGAAGAGAGCTATGAGGTGCTGTATGCGGGAACTCTTCGGCGAACCGCCCGGGTACCACAGGCACACCGAGAATGGGAACTCCTGCACGTGTACTCGACCTGGAAGTTATAATAGGCTTATGCAGGTCACACACGTTAAGTTACCTATAGGCACCTAGTGTGTGTGTGTGACAAAACTGTACAATTTTGTGTACTATGAAAATAGGTTATACCTGCAAGATTAAAACCGTCAAGCAAAACCTAACGTGTGTGGAACGCATTAACTTTCGTCAACGGCTTCTTTATCAAAAGACTGTAAAGATCTCCTCAAGACGAGTTAGAATATCACTAGATTAAAATTAAAAAAATAATTACCCATGTCGAGCGCGCGGCCCCAAGTAAGGGGGTTAATTCCTGACTGTGTGACATTGCATACTATGATTTCCTTTGGTCTGTAAATTTATTATTTATAAATATAGATTATTAAAGGTACAAGGTAGCTTTAATTACACATATTTTTAACTGAAACTTTTGTTAGTTTAAAGACGAAAGGTAAATAAACTAAGGCATTCTCATCATTATGATTCCATCGATAAATTAAAACAAATGCTATCTCACATTTATAGGAAAAAAATCAACACTTCATAGGCGTGAATTGTCATTGAAACATTACAAATATGTCAACTTTAGAGCACACCGTTAACTAAACTATCGCAAAAATGTTTGATTTCTATGAGCTTATATGGAGCGCACTACTCTTTTAGTTTTGCAACTAAACAGTTGAAGGCTGCGAAACAATTGACAATCGCACAATAGTTGTGCGATATTTGTTAATAGTATACGCGATCTTAAATATGCTCGGTCGTCATCACAGTTTCTTATCTGTCTTTCGAACTACCTGACAAAGACTTACATCGCATCTGACATTCCTTTTCCTGGGATTTGACAGGAAGATTTAGTTCTATACTTACTTTTCTATGGCAGTGACATACGCTAGCAGTATACATCCATTGACGGCGATATCCACAGGGACGATGTCCGCAAGATATGTATCATTGAGATGCATTGTGCGTATTACACCTGGAATTAATAAAACGACCGATTAGAAAAATTTAATCTATGGTTTTCTGGCTCCGAAGGATCACAGTCTATGTTCATGATTCTTGCAATCTCTACTCTGTACTGTTTTTCAAGATGGATGATGTTATGCATTAGTTTCAATCATGTTTAATATAAAAAGGATATGGAGTTTGGTTTATGTTCTTACCTTTACCCGCACCGACCAGTAGACCTGTAGGCCCATTCATGTTGTCCACCCATCCCGGCAAAGGCTCTTTGTGTGCGGCAGATACTGAAAAATTCATTTTATTGTGTAATTAAATATGATTTTTAAATGTTAATTTGCGGAATAACTTTTCTAGTCATTAAGAATCTTCTAGAGTGAAGTACACTTTATAATCAGTAACGAAGTGAGTAGATTGTTTTTCTTGAATTTAATGCTTTTATATCTATTTATTTTTATAACAATTTGAACTTACCAATAGAGGGCCGAGCAATAGCGATGGGAAATTTTCCTACGTGTTGGGACACCAGGTCTTCAGTCAAAGATTTCGTGTACGCGTAAGTGTTTGGTTGTGGTTCGATTAATCTGTAATATCAAATAAATAAATAAAAATAACATATTCTAGAAGGCACTATGGAGTTTTTCCGCACATACCTCTGACGTCATAATCTACGCTATATGTAATGTTGCCGAAATGTTGCCATACTTTGAAGGAAGTATAAAGACAGGTTGCGTTCTGTACTTCAATAGCGTTAACATGTTGAAGCTTAGACATATTAAATCAAAATACATATTTAATTGGTGTTCTTATAGCATAGATCAAGAGCTTTGTAAACGATAGCAAGTCACAATGCAATTAAAATTAACTTAGTAAAAACCGTTTTTTTTTATTAAAAAAAATGTTAGAAAAAGAAACTGCAGGTTTTAGGTTGTCTATTGCATGTTCATTATATGACGAATCGTAACCGTGTTAAAAGTTTTGATGCAATATTTGGTTTTCAAACATATATAGTTTACATAGGAGCCATCGAAATCGTACTTGGGAGTCAGGTGTCTGAGTAGGTCGTCATCCATCCATTCCACGCACTTTATGACGTCTTGCGGTCGGTGGGGGGCAGGATACAGCCGCTCCTCCAGCACGGGCAGCTCGCAGCGGCAGTATGACGTCGACACGTGGAGGAACACCTGCAAATATTAATGATCTATTACGTCATAAGTCAATAAAACGTGTCTGTCATTTGTATGACAGTTGCGAATAAGAGTCGCTCGGCAACCTTACATATAGAAACTATCATCCGTTTGCCCTTATCCCTTACGGAGGGTCGGCACATAATGAGCTGCTCTTCCATACATCTCTATCAGCCGTCATATCTGAATCCACTCCTTTCTTATGCATATCCTCTTTCACACAATCCATCCATACTTTTTTCGGTCTTCCTCTTCCTTTGTAGCCATCCACATTCAATCAAACTTACATATAGAAATAGTAGTATACTTATTAGAGTGGGCGCACAACTTTGACTAAACTATCGCACAACTATTGTGTGATTGTCGATTGTTTCTGTTTGTATTATAATAGTTTAGGTGCACATCTACAAATTGAGTAGTGTGCCCATCTCCACATAAGCTCATAGGAATCAAAGCAAGACTAAACAGTTCTGCAGATTAAACAGATAGTTTAGTCAAAAATCTGCACACGCTCTTGATAGTTTGATGGACTAAAAGTCTTGACTTAAATATACAGTTGTGATATTCTGATAGTAAGGTATACCTCCAGCTTCTTCATTCCTGCTGCTAATTTCAATACTTTCATTGTGCCCTCAGTATTCATTGCGACCGCGTCACGTATGAACATGTCGAATCTGAAATTAAAGAAGAACAAGCACTTGTATATTACTAGGAGCAGCTAATCAAGAAGCATCAACTATATATCAATCCACTGCTGGCTAGCCTTATCTAATAACTATAAAGTTTATAATTACCTCACACAAGCGGCGCAATGGAATATAATCTGACATTCTCTCTGCAGCTCGTCCCAGTCCGCTATGGACATGCCCAATTCATCCTGTAAAATGTCACCTGGCACCACTTGCAGTTTGTCCAACACTTTCGGCGACATGTCTTGCAATTTGTCGAATATCTGGAATAAAAAAAATCGTAACCAAAGTGTCGGATGAAAGAAGATTGCATGAGTAGAGATATCTGTGTGGTGTGACGCTAAGGCATAATGTTCAGAACTAAAATATTGGAGAAATTATGACAGTAGCATCAGTACGAGGTAGAAATTGAGAAGCAAAAGGTTAGCGCTGTATGGACATATCCGGAGAGATGCTCGTCTTCTCCCCTGCTTTATCCTACTCCCGTAGGGTCGGCGCACCGGGATTTCGTCCTCCAAACAACTCTATTATCCGTCATCTCAGTCATCACTCCCTTCTTATGAGAAGCACATAATTAATTTAGATATAGTATTGAACGTGGTTGACTTAAATGCAGAGGATGGCCAAAGATAATATGGATAGATTGCGTGAAAAAGATCTGCTTAAGAAATGAATAAAATTAAATAATTATGCGTAATAGTGATGTGTTGTGGTAGTGTGCTAACATTTTATAGAGAAAAGTGTTGGGGGATTACATAGTAACTAATTTACTTACTCTGTAATTAATAAAACTTTCAAGACGCTCTTTAGTGCCTTGTCCTTTCTTGGGTCGCATCAACAAATATATCTTTTCAATTTCTGGACAACACCGTAAGAGTTTTTCTATCAGAACCTTTCCCATAAATCCCGTGGCTCCGGTGATGAAAATCTTTTTGCCCGCGAAGAATTCAGATACGCCAACAGATGGCGCCATCGTGATGGTTTTTTACTCTGGAAATAAATTGTACAATAAGCATAGCAAATTATTTAAAATATTAAAATAAACAATTAATTAGACAAAAACACCATAAAAAATCTTTATAAGATTCCATGAATAACTTAGAAGCGCCAATATTTTTAGTGGTCATGTCATTGTCATTTCATAACATCATGACCTGCTAAGTTCGAAACCCGAGACAATTGACGTGAATCTTATTCAAACGCAAGACGGGGGATATTTGCATACTTTTATTAAGGACAGAGAGGTGAAACTGAAGAGGCATTTTCTTTTCAGGTCATCCCTTCCCGGATTGTCCTCTCTTCCCTTCCGTTTGTCACAACTAGTGGGATGGATAGTACTACAGTTGGAAGACAAACTTAACTTTCTTTTTTTAAAATTGACTTCTATACACTGGGAAATTCGGACATGTTAGTTAATAATTTTTTAGTAGATTATGTCAGAAAGATTTACTTAAAACGTCCTTACAGAGGTCCCTTTCCTAAATAGTATTTGACCACGAAGTCGGCAATACGATATGACCCTGCCTCGGGTAACACTACATGGCGTAACTAAAGCCTTGGCATTTTTGTCATCGCAAAACACTTTTACATTTTATAGATTGAATATAAACGACTCAATCAATGCTGCTGTTACCCGTTAATATTGTATTAGGAACATTACAACCATATCCAGATTAGACAAGAGACATGCGACTTATCTAAGAATATTCCTATCGAATTGTGTGTAAGTAAAACTTAACAATTCCAACGAGAAAATTAAAAAGAAATATAAGCGGATTTACGGGTAATAGCTAGTATTTTATAAACAGGAAAAAATACAAGTACCAAAGTAAATTAATTTCATGAATCTAATTAGAATGAATATCACGAGTTTTAAATAGCACTACAGTACTTTAATGCAAATTAACCTCGAGTTTAAATTTTAGGTGTGTCTCGAACATGCGATGGACAACGAATAATTAAAAGAAATCAGTTAATAAAACAATTTTCTTGCGATTTGGTTTGTTTTAGTTACTCTTCATTTTAAATATTAACTTTCCAATAGTTACAAAATAATTTATATTTGACTATTGAATTTAACTGTGTAGGTGAGCACAAATTAAATAATTTTGTCGATGACGTTACCTTCGCAGTAATTCGTGGTAAGCTCTGTTGATTAAGAACGCGCGCACATGTGATTAAACTATCGCACAACCTATTAGTCGCGCTTCGATTCGTATAAGGTTATATGAAGGTGCACATACCATTCGATCTTTACTTGTGCAACTAAACAGTTGAATTGGCTGCGAAACAATCGACAATCGCACTTCAGTTGACAGTTTGGTCAAAGCTGTAGCTCTAAAAGTACAAGAGGCTATGAGATGACCAAGATAATATCTTATTTATTACACTATGCATGTATTGTAAGACGTCGTTTACATATTAACACATCTTGAGATTATAAATAAGGCGGAACTTGCGTTTTCCTTGAAGTCTTACATTATGTACTAATGATATAATTCTTACATCAGACTATTTTCTATTTTAATACGTTTTTAATGCAAGAAGGAAGATTTTTTATTTGGTATAGCGCGGCCCTCTTAATCCCTAGTGGGGTGAACAGAGCTAGAGCAGAGAAAAAAAAGCTTTTGTGGATAATTAAGTTAATTTAAAATAAGCAACTGTGTTTTTACAATTCACAATAATTAATCGAAAATGAGATAGCAATTTCTTAGTATGGGAATTCGATTAATATTGAATTCTTTATTTCTTAGATTTTCTTATAATTTTACTAAAAAAACATCCTTTTCGTTTTTAAAAAGGGGGTCCCCCTTCTCTTCTCCTAATATTTTTATTATAGAAATTATTTAAAGCGAACCTTAGTACGAACAAGTATTTAAATTCGCTGTACATAAAAATTGCACTAAATTTAGAATCACGTATAAAATCTATTGCATTTATTCATATAAACGTGAATTATTTATGCTATACAAATTTATATTCACAAAAATGCACTTTTGCTGGTTAAAGAAAATGTGACTACTTACTAGTTTTCACAAGAATTTACGTCAATTACTTTGTATGATTACCTTTAAATACCTGAAGTTTCAAATTTAATATCGGGGTTATAAATAGCATTGGGTACCTACTATCTATTATATTTTATTATTAGGCTGTTTACATGTTACTGTTGACTGATAATGTTCAAGTTAGAAAACAAAAATGGGATCCACCTGCAAGCATTACCTTTCGGGAAAAAAAGAATTATCAAAATCGGTTCACTAGCAGCAGAGTTATGCCGTAACACACAGACGAATTGAGTACCTCCTTTTTTTGGGAAATCGGTCAAAAAAGAGCATATCACAAAAATATACAAAAACATGTTTTTGATTTTTTTTTTTACTATTTTTTCCCAATTAGTAAGAACACAGTACTCGACATTAGATATTTTTTAAATTGATGAAAAAAACAGGCTTTAAAGATACTGTACATAATAATACTGCAATCCTATTTATGCATTGTCCTATCTTATAGTAGGTATTTAGACATTATTGTAGATTATATTATTAAAGTGATTTATTAGTTACGGCCATTAAAAATACATCATAACCTTGTTAATATAATTCAAGACAGAAATAGTTGTAAACAAATCATATCTATTTATTTTAAATTACGTATAATGTTCATATAAAAAATCACACGTTATTTTATGACCATTATAGTTTAGTATTGTGTACACTAGATGGCGTTATTTACAATCAACAAATCTCCACTAAAGATCATTCCAAACGAAATTTAAAAAGATTTAAAATTAGAAGGTAGTTAATCAAAACCTCGACGTCATATGACACTTCACCGCCAGTTCAAGAAAAACAAAAAAACAAAAACCCAGACATCCATACATAAAATATAAATAATTACTCTGAAAAAACGTTAATCTGCTTAACTTTAAAGTGTCTTCCCGCCGAAATAAGAAGTAATTGTGCTATGCAAGTGTTTTTTAAATGTTTTATGACTTGGATTGATTCGAAACCACAAGAATTAGCAGCGAACCAATCTTCGCTTTATATCTGTCACATTGATGTCCAATTAGAGGTATACCTGGTATACAACAACGCAGTAATGACGTCGTTTGCGGGTTTTACCAAAGGTATACAAAATTTCCTTATCATTTCTAAAGACGGTTTTTTCTAGCAATTCTCTTTAATGATCAACAAAATGAGATCCATAATCTTGGATTAACCGGCTCTTTTGTTAGCACGAAGGTTTATTCAACAGTTTTTTGTGTTAAAGATTTAATACGCTGATTCCATGGGTTGTTGTACTTTGATATTTTGCTAATTAATTTTAAATAAAAATAACTGACGATTCTAACTTGTAGCACATTCCAGAACAGATAACGAAAAAATACTTCTAATTTTAAATCAGTCAATCAATTTATGTTGCAGGTGAAATGGAAAACATAAACATACCATTGATCTTTTAAAAAGGATAGGTCAATCCTTGAAATTAACAGTTTTAACTTCGTTCCAAACGCTGTTGATGTTACTGAAAGGTAATTTTGTTTATTCTCAGTTCGGTATCCACCACCACAACCGTCAGTGCCAAAATGGCGAAAATAAAATGGGAAACAAACCACTTCTTATACCACGCCTGTTTGGTAAGTACGAAAATATATTACCTTCATGTTAGTCGGACTTTGTAGTATATCTTCATTACCACTGCCGAAACATTCAAACAAAAGCACATCTAAATAAACCGAGATGTCAACATATACCATTGACAATAGAAACCGACCCTTATACCGTTTCGGTAGTTAAAGAATCGCGAAAAACACAATAACGTTTTTTTAATAAGGAATTAAATTTTATATTCGAAGATTGAGATTACTGTTTCCATATATATCATTTAATTATGCTAAATACTATGTACTGTCGCCGTACATACATAGTTCCACGAACTATTACGTATTTTAGACACGCCTGATGATACATAGCCCTAGACCTTGAAGTACATATGTACATGGACGAAACTGGTTTATTGTTATAACTGACCGCTATACAAATGTTTTTTTTAGTTAGCAATAATACAAAACAAATGAAATAGATAAAATACTCGTAACAAAGCAATTTAATTGTTTCTGGTGTAGATTTAATATTTTGATAAATATGTTCTTACGTAAATGACCGTATCCCGCGATTTAATTTTTTAAATCAACCAATCTGCAGTGTGTCCGAATTTTTTACTAAAGCTTAATCCCCAAGAGGTTTTCGTCCTCCACATATGTAACTCTATCCTCCGTTATCTCATCACTCCCTTCTTGATCACGTCTCAATCCAACAATCCATTCATCTCTTCCTAAGTCTACCTCTACCAGGGAAGTAGATCATTCTTTTTATTACCACAATTAAGTTGCAAAGTATGTAATGTTGAGTAGTAACTTCTCAGTTCCCACGACCATTGTTATGCATGATTTTAACAATGCCTTGAGTTAGGTTACGTACGGGAATAATCTAGATCACGATAGAACATGGGAATGATTTTTTTCTAGATTTAAATGTCGATTTCATAATAGCGAAAATTTATTATAATTTTGCATAACTCTAATAAACTCTTACAAGCCTAGTTATAGTTATCTATTGCTGAAAATATTTGTTAACGTTTAATGTCTTTGACTTTTTTGGATTAAAGAGTCTGTATCACTGATCTGTATAAATAGACAGGCGAGTTTAGTAAAAGACAGATTTTACTTTGTTCTGACTTCAACGCGTCTTTTAGCGTTAATGACAGTTAAGTGTACCACTATTATTATTTTTAAAACTCTTCACCGCGATCAAACACAACTATCAGTGCCAATATAGTGAAAATATAATAGACACAAAGTAGAGTATTGTATCGCCTGTCCATTTCTAGAAGTCGTAGGTTTGCATACTGCCACACCGTAGTAGCCATTAAGAATGTTGCAATTTTAATGAACAAAAAAGATGAGTTATAATTGGTCAGTATTATGC